CAGGTACTAATAGTTAGTTGTAGCTTTGAAGGAGTAGAGGAACAAGGCAGCGCAGACATCACATAGGTGCTCACAGCCTGGGAAGACATATCCGCGGTGAGCAGACACAGGCCTGCAGGTACCTTTAAAAATATAGTTGTTGCACTTTTAATTATTTTTAAAATTTCATACAGTATACTTTGATCATATTCTTTTCCCTTTCCCAAGCTTTCCCAGATCCCCCACCTCCCTACTCACCCAACTTCATGTCCTTTCTCCCTCCCCACTCAAAAATGACAAAGCAAACAAAACCCCAAAAGACAGAAAAAAACCCAAATCAAACAAACAAATTAAAGAAACACATAAAAAACAATCAAACATGGAGTTGACCAACTATCCCTGAGCATGAGCCAAGGCATGTCGATATACCACACTCCACGGGAGAACACTTATTTTTTTCCCTTGTCTATCAGGCATCAGTTGTAAATAGCTTCTTAGTTAGAGGTGGGACTTTGTGCCCATTTCCTCTTCTCTATGCTGGGACATTTTTTGGCTCAAATTTGTGACTTTCTTGCATATGCCATAATAGTTTCTGTGAATTCCTATGCGCCTTAAGCCTTCTGTGTCTGGACTTGTGTGAAGGCCTTTTAGAGTCACATTTGGGACAGGCTGAGACTCCCAAAGAATAACATGCAACACTCTAATTATATAATTATGCTGCAGGTAGTAATTCACTAAGATAAAACATTTATTTTTAAGATCTGTGAACTCATACTGATATCATAAAGGAAATCAGGAGAGGGCAATCTCTCCTTTATTGAAGAATGCCAGTTGTTATGTGTAAAGTGAATGTTAAAATTGCTAATTTAGCATTTTTCTTTTCTTTTCTTTTGGTTTTTAGAGACAGGGTTTCTCTGTGGCTTTGGAGACTGTCCTGGAACTACCTCTGTAGACCAGGCTGGTCTCGAACTCACAGAGATCCACTTGCCTCTGCCTCCCAAGGTGTGCGTCACCACTGCCCAGATTCAAATTTAGCATTTTTCAACACCAGTGAAATTACTTGTGTTAAGAGAAGCTTTCCTTGAGAGGAGCCTTCCCGCCCGCCTGGTTCCAGATCTGCATCAGTCCCAAATAAACACACACGACGCTGTATTAATTATGAAGCTGTTGGCCTTGCTTGTTTCTTACTAGCTAGCTCTGACTTAAGTAATTACCCCATAATTGTTAATCTAAGTATGTTTCTTACCGGAGAATAGTTCCAGGCTTCCTACCCCCATGGCGTTACATGTTGACTCTTCGTGTTTCTCCTACCCAGAGTCCTCCTGGACTCCTAGTCCCTCCTATCTAGATTCCTATTGGCCAACAGTAATTTATTAACATATACACAGGACTTCCCCAACAACTTGTTCAAATCAAGTACATCGCTGGCAAGCTGCCTGGACATGACAGAACTCTCAGACTGAGATGGGCTGTCACAGAGGGAAAGAGACTTCCTCACAATGGGACAGCAGATGCCTCACCATCAAGTGTTTCAACAGCATTGCCAGTGGGGCCAACACTAGGGATATCTGCTATGACACAATGGGAGATATACACTGTCCCTTATGTAGTAGACACAAAATATTTAACCTGTCTACAAAGATGAGAATTAGTTAGATCCCTATTGTTGGGAGTCCTTCAGTACTACTAGCATGGGTTTTTGAAAAACATTAAGGTCATAAAGTGAAAATTTTGGGTGAGCGTATCTGTTCTAGAAATAAAAATACACAAAAACTGAATTCATTGCACATCCCTAGACTTGTTTCTGTATTGAAATAAATAGCAAGAAAAGGATATTGGCAGGTCAAATAAAAATTTGAGTTTAGGTTGTACTATGTGATGTTGTCCTGTCAGGCCTCAACTACATTGGTGTGAAATCATTAACAACAGTGAGCATTTCATTTTTCAGGGACTTACAGAGTATTTAGATTTGCAATACCACAATACCTATACCTCAGGTCAAGTGTTCCAGCAAACAACATCTTCACGGTTTATAACTTTAGGTTTTACATTTTGATGTATATTCTATTTTGAGGAAATTTTTAGCACATGCTGCATTATGGATTGAAGTACATCTTCTGAATGAATGTAAATTGTTAACATATCATTGATGGGAAGGCTGTTCTTTCTCTACTTAATTGTACTTGCCTCTTTGTCCACCAGCTCACCACATGTGTGGTTTTCTTTCTGGGCTGTCTTCTGTTCCATGGATCTCTTTGTCTTTCCCAACACCAGTATACCACACAACTTCTTTGTTTTATGTCTTGAAGTCAAGCAGTGTGGATGCTTCAGTTTTGTTTTGCTTTTCCAAAGTGCTATGGAGTATTCTAATGCCTTTGCCTTTTCCTACAAATTTTATGACTAGTTCATTGATTTCACCAAAGAAGCCCATTCAACTGCTGGAGATGCAGTTGAATCACAGTTTAGTTTTGGAAAGACTGACATATTAATTATTTAATCTTTCAACCCTTGAGACATATTCAAGTCTTTAATATTTTGTAGTTTGTAGTGCACAAATAATCAACCCTTCATTGGCAAGTGTACATGCTTGGTCTCAACCCTTTCTGGCAAATGTACAGAAATGGGATTGCTGGATTATATGGTAATTTTATTCTTCGATTTTGATGAATGCCGGTAGTTTTCCATAACAGTTGAACTAACTTACTTTCCTACCAACAGTATAGGACTGTTCTCTTCCTCACATTTATGTTTTTCTGGTCAACACTTCTTTCATCTTTTTTAGAACCCTTTTAATTGATGAGAGGGAAACATAGCAAGATACTTAATATCCCAGAACTGTTAGCTGTTTCTGCTGGGATTTCAGATCTTCTCAGAGAAGAGTCTCATGTGCCTCATCTTGCTTGGCTCAGGGTTGTGAAACAAGACTTTATGGAACACAGGAAGTATTGCGAGGCTTTTCTCCTGCTGGGACTCCCTTAGCTGTTCATCTGCTCAAAGAGAAGGAAAGAAAGTCCTGTAGGACAAGCCTGGTGAATGTGTGTCAGAGTTGGTTAATAACCACCTGGGATGTTTCCAATTTGCTCAGGGTCAGATTTGAGCTCAGACATTCTCCATGACTGTTTTCTACCCGAAGAGAAGAATGGGCTTTAGTCAGTAAACAACAGTAAACTCAAAATTTGCCCAAGTCTATTTCCTTATGAATTTCTGTCCAAGCACACCCCAATTCCAGCGGCCAGGAGAGAAACATGCTCGCCTTGGAGACTCTCCACAGCTGTGCAGGGCTTCTACTCAGAAATATCTAAACTGAATGAACATCTGATGAAAAGTTTTGATCTTACACAACCTTCCTAATAGTTTTGTGGTATAGGCCAAACAGGCATGTTCCTTGAAAAAGAGATGATAAAACTATACTGAATCCACAGTGGCCCACACTGGAGAAGCCCCTTGTGTGAGACTTCCATAGACAGAGAGCCGATTTCATGTTACTGGGGATAAAGTCTGAATGAAACTCAGCTGGAGCAGGGGACTTGTTGGTGGAGGAAGTCAAAGAACACGAGCCCAGATTGTGGGCAGCAGGGGAAGGTTTCATCTCAGCTGCCTTAAGACTGGATCAAGGCTTAGCATCAGGTCATTGGTGATGATCACTGGGGCAAAGAGGGATTATTTTTATTAAGTATTCATGTTTGCGTAGGAACTTTCAGTCATTAATCATTTAACTCTCGGGGCTCGTGGGACTTTTGCAATGGGAAAGAAATAACACCATCTAATTTTACAGCTACAGCGACTTGGAAGCCACACATCATCTACTGCTGTTCCACCTAAGGAGGCAAAGCTATACACAAGAATCTGGGGAGCCAGAGCAAGAGGTCCCTGGAGAGCTTAAGTGAGGTGTTTTGTTTTGATACAAAGTTAACTGATTTCTTTTTTCATTTTTAAGGCATCATGATAGATACTGAGTTGTATTAAAGTAAAAACAAACAAACAAAAAACCTCACCATGTTTCAGACACTACCTGGTTGGAAATTCTGCTGGGTCTGCACACTGTTTTAAATCAAAATGTGCATTTATGTAGCAAAGATTATAAGGAATTGCCTGCTGGTCCTATCTTCTCGGAAGAATGAGAATATGAGCCAACATTCTGTGTGGGAGTGAGTAGTTTACAGTAAACTGGACTACAGAGAATTTCATGGACATTGTGAGGCCTACCATTAATCTAGTGGTTTCCTGGAGAAAGTGTGTTTTGAAGTTCAGTTAAAAGATGCTTAAATCACTGTAGCCCCAAAATCCTTCAACCCAGACCCTTTGAAGTAGCTATCCTATTTCTGTCCTTGGGCTGTAAACACCTGGAAATGTTACAAGATGGAAGCATTACCAGAGAAACCCACAAGAATACATATTGAGGAAATGAAGAGAACTCTGGCAGTGAGAACTTTATGAACTATCAGCTGGCCAGGAGTGGTGGTATGTGTTTTTAATCCCAGCACTCAGGAGGTAGAAGCAGGAGGATCTCTGCGTGTTTGAGGCCGGCCTGGTCTACAAAGCGAGTTCCAGGACAGCCAGGACTGTTGTACAGAGAAAGACTGTCTCAAACAACCAAAACAAAATCTATCAACTATGAGGCAGGTAAGGGGCACACGAGTGCAGTGGGGGGGTTGTCAGTGGAGTCATTTGAATCTTAAACAAAGCACAGAAAGCTCCTCAGGGTTCTGAGTACCCTCTGGTGGGGCAGGGAACGAGTGCGGGTTAGGATAAGCACCTTCCTCCAGCCTAAGGCAGACCTTGGCTCAAATTCATGTAGAACTTGGCTGCAAGTCTCAGGTCAGATGGTGCGAACAGAGCTGGCCTCAAAGACTGGTGATGGAAATAAGAGGCTGGGAAGTGGACCCATGGCACCAGTCAAACCCAGGGGATATGGGTCTGAGATTCATTAAACTCTGGGAGTCTTCTTTACATAGACAATGCACAACTCAGACTTTAATATGAGGAAGTCGAGTAAATACTTAGTCAGAAAGAGAAATCTTCAGCATGTTTCCAAGGTCTGTGACTGGTTGTGGCCATGGGATCTCCAACCACATGCCAGAGTAACTGGAGAGATTTGGACAGCTCAGGCCAGCACAGTGCCTGTAGATGCCACTCAGTTTTCTTGTATATTTTTTATTTAATTAATAAATTAAAAAAGAGAGAATTGCGGCAAATCATTAATTTGAAAGAAGCTGACAAACAGCACAAATATTAGCAAGTCCAGCAAAACAGTCCAAAGCTTTTAGTAGTCGTCTGTCATGTGCAGATAGATATAACCACCCTGCAGAGTCTGACAGTTGACGGATGACAACTGTTTTATAGTGACACACTGAGCAAGCAGAATTGGAACATTTTATCTCTGCTCTTCAGTGTGGTTAATCAAAATTTGCTTTTTATTGTTGATAGCTTAGGAAACTTTCCACAGGGCACGCTCTTGGTGCTTACAGTGTCGCTCACACAAATGTGTGATGGTCATTAGATTGAAATGCTTTTGTTGGAATTTTGAGACACCCAAGAGTCACAAGATCTAGACAACCTTTCCATACCAGTTTCTGGCTTTGCATTTCAAGTCTTGTTTCTCCCCACCATCATCCTAATTTCAGAGCTGGGTATTGTAGGTCGCATTTATGTTTCAGGATGATATACTTTGGTTGCCCAGATCACTGGGTGAGCAGCCAGTTAGAGAGTTTCTGAGAACCATTCATATAAATATGTGACCCATATAATGCGTTCCACTCTGCTCAAGCTAAACGTGACTGCAACCCAAGTGCATACCACCCTATCTGGGGGAAAATGTGACAGGGGAATTCAAAGTAATTGACATTAAGCACTTTAACCTGATGAACTGTATAAAAACTTTTAACCATGTAGCGATATAACCAACACTGATAGAGGCCCTGTGAGAATTCATGAGGCTAGCTTTACGGTTTTCTGCTTCTACATGTCTTATCAGTGTTCTGAAACTTTTCTCATATAGCCACATCTTTAAAATTGTTATTGTGTTTCGCTTGTTTGTGTGAGAGTACACACATATGCCTTGGTGTATATGCGGAGGACAGAAGACAACTTGTAGCTCTCTCTTTCTATTGTGTAGGCCTCAAGAACCAAACTCAGGCTTGGTGGGAAGCATCTTTACCCACTAGGCCATCTCACCTCACAATATTCCAATATCCTCATAACTGTTGCTCAAAGTAACTACCGGAGGGATCTGCGGGCTTGTGTCTTCTCTGAAACTAGTATCTTGTCCAAAGTTAGAAATGAAGTATGTCCCTTCCAGCAGTGATGGATCTAAATGAAACTGACAGGAAGGTAGGATGTGTCATAGGGAAAGGAACCTCCTTGTCTCCTTTGTCTGAGGCTCTGTCTGGATTCCCAGCTCCTCTCTGGAGTAGTTGTGATGTACTGAGCTCTGATGTCTTTCATCTTTCAGTGAATCCCCTCTGGGAATGTCAGACCATCCCTCCTCTCCCCCTCTATAAAGGAGACAGGAGAGTAAGTTGGTGAGCTAGTCAGACCTGCCTCAGGGCTACACCACATGGCCTGGGCTGAGGCACCACAGAGGCTGATGAAGGCAGAGTTTGGGAAACTGGGGTTCATGGTGTGGTGGTCATTCAAGAAATGTAACCCCTTGGAAACGTGCTGCCCGGGCTCTGGAAGACGGGTAAAACAAATAAAGCTGCCGCCTATTTGGAGCACACACTGGCCCCTTCCACATCTGCAGGACATTTAGCTTCTTGCATCTGGTAGTGTTTGTGCAAATATAATTCCATATTCACTAATAATTCCTGGGGCTAAAGTCCCCCCCCAATCTTGTTAATATTCTCTCAAGGCCTGGTGTGAATGCCTCATAGCACTTTGATTAGAATTCAATCTTCTGTTTTCCCCCCACCTCTCTGTCTCTTTGTCCCTCTCTTCTCTCATGCTTTTCTGGCCCCTGGTTTCCTGGCCACCCACATGAGGAGGCAGTCCCCCTCCCCTCCACTCTCCATTCTCAGTTTCAAGGAATTTCCTTGTGTCAAAGGCAAAGTGTGATTGACACATTTTCCCCCTCCGAAGCACAGTCATCTCAGCTTGACTTAACCATCTCCTTATGGGACCCATACAGTCATTACCTGGGTGAGAGAGACCTCCTCCTGGCCCTTCTTAAGGGCCAGCTCAGCTCCACGCAGCTTGGTCTCTTTATAGACTTAAATTTCTGCACCCCCTCTCCTTGTTTGCCTACTTTGGGGGTGGTGTGTTGCTATTGGCACTAACGAGTATTCCCTGGCAAACTGCACCTTGAGATTGAAAGAATTTCAGTTAGTCATACTCAGGTAAACCAGCTGCTTCCTTCCAGTGCCCTCTGCCTGCCAGGAAAGGCATTTAACTGTTGTTCTTCAGACTTGGGGGAAAATGGATAGCGCAGTAAGTTTTCTAGCAAATTTACCGACTCAGGGCAAGCCTCATTCCTTGGGCTCATTAGTCTTCATGACCAACTTGTCTCTCAGGAGAAGAAAGCAAAAAAAAAAAAAGTAAAGCGAAGAATTATACCTTGAGGGATCATATTCAGCCCACGAAGAAGCTCTTGGCAGGCAGGTTCTTGGCTGGACTGAGCTGTTGGCTTTGGAATGCATGTGCTTTCTCGGGGTATTTAAAGCAGACTGCTTCTATCAGAATTCCCATGGCCTCTAAGTGCTTCTGCCCTTCTGCTCATAGTGAACTATGACCTTAGAAGGTCACTCACAGCTTTTTTTTTTGAAATTCCCTTTTCTGTGAAGGGGCCACATATACAGCTAGACCCTGCCATTTCCCAGTATGGAGTCACCTCTGCCGCTGCTGTTGCTCACATAGACTGCTGATCAAAGCCAAGACTGTCAACAGAGCTAGTGCCACGCAGTAATTATCTTCTTAAGGGCATGTTTACTAACCCCCAAATCTCATCTTTTTCCACAAGAGAATAAAGTTCTAGGAGTTTTGTTCCCAAAAATTCAGCAATAGAGAAGCTTCGTTATCAAGGTGTAGTTTGTAACTACAAAACCTAAGGAAATGTATGGTATAAAGGCAGAATTCCCTTGCCTCAGCATAATGTGACAAAAATATTGTTTGTCACAATGTCACCTGCATTATGATAAACAAAGCCTGGAGCCAGCCTTAAACAAGCCTACTTTCTGGCATTGCCAGTCACAGAACTATGCGTTTCGTTGATTGTTCCCTTTAACTGGCACATGTTAACAACTGTGTGTGTTTACATGTTTTATTCATGCACTTATTGTGTGGAAATGCAATGCATATGCATGTGTAATGATCAAGTCAAGTCAAATAACACTTCTATTTCCTTAAACATTTATGATTCTGTTAGGAGCATTCCAATTCCTCATTCCTAGTTATTTATCAAATAAAGACCAATTGCCTGTTTCTGTAACTAATCACCCCCATCATTCTTGCCTTCCCTGCTTCCTACCTTATAGTAACCACTGCTCTGTCTTCTGATTCACTTTTTAGCTTTCATATGTGAGAGAACATGTTAAATCTCCCATTCTGTGTTTACCTTATTTCACTTAAGGGCCTCCAGTTCTAGCTGTTACCACGAATGACAGGATTCCATTCTGCTTTAGCATGGAATTAATAGTCCATATATACCATACTCATATGTATTTATGTACACACATTTTTTATTTATAGAATACATATATACATGCATGCATACATATATACATAGTGCATTTTGTCAACTTTATGCACCAAGTATAGGGATGGTGCTACAGTAAACAAAGTCAGGCATCACTTCGATAAAATATTTTCATTTCCTTTGGATATGTATCCAGCAGTGGGAAAACTGGGCATTTCTGAGGGGCTCTTGCTCCCCTGTCTATAGACAGACTTTCTTTTTTGCCACCACTCCCAAGTAACAACTCACAGAGAGACATATTATTAATTATGAATGCTCAGCCTTAGCTTAGGCTTGTTCCTAACTAGTTTTTATAACTTAGAGCAATCCATATCCTTTGGTCTGCATTCTTTCACATGGCTGGGTTACCTTTGCTCTACACTGTCCACCTGCTTCCTCCCTGTCTGGCCAGCGACCCCATCTTTCTTCTTCCCAGCTCTCTCTCTCTCTGGCCAGAAGTCCCACCCCTCTCTCCTGCATAGCTATTGGCCATTTAGCTTTTTATTACACGAATCACAGCAAAACATCCCATACCATTTACCCTTTCTGTCTAAATAAAAGAGGAAGGGTTTAACTCTGAGTAAAACTATATACAATAAGAACAATTATCAGGTAAGAATTACTTTTACAGTGTTCAGTCTATCTGTATTTGGCCAATTTAGAGAAAATATTTCATTATCTATCCTATTTTGGTGAGTCAAAAGTTCTGCGCCTGATTTATTTTCTATCCTAACTTATATTACCTATCCAAAACTATCTTTTTGGACCTCAAAACCTTTTCTTAGATAAACAACTTAAGCTTTTATATCTCTTAACCTTATATACTTTATACTTCTTTTGTGAGGTTTCTTTCTTCTTCTGAATTTGGTAGCAAGGAATACTGTATCTATCTAGTCTTTAACCCTATCAAAGACCCAAGAAGGATAGCAAGCAACTTCCAAAACTATTGGAAGGACAAAGACATTTGGCTGCCTGGACAGTCACCCAAGGTTTCTCTGCAACGTTGGTGCACCCATCTTTGGGCTGCAGACTCTTTTGTGAAGCAGGGATTTTGAAGGTTGTCCTACCTTTTCTTGGTAAAGTTTGGCAGTGGCCTCCTTTTATGTCCTGCTGGTCCAATATGGGCAGCAAATTGTCAGCAGTTGAGGCAAGGGGCAGTTTTTTGCCACATAGAAAATAAACTCCATATGGAGGTTCTCCAATACCTACCATCCTTTTTTGAAGTTAAATTGGTGCTGCCAGGAGCAGACATGTCTTACTGTCAGGAAAAGTTTTATGTTATTAAAACATTTTAAATGCCATATTCTGTAGGTCTCTGAAGTGTTTGAAGACAATCTACCTATTTAAAATATGTGTCTTTCTGACTTTGAAAACATACCTAACATGACTATAAGTTTGATTGCTATAGACAATTAACTACTAACCTGCCTTCCTTTATTATCCTAAATAGCTTTAAATAACTAAAACTTTACATTACATTTTT